CATTGATTCGGTCGTATTGAAATCAGTTGTATAGTTTTTTTTTTATTTCACCACTTGTTATCCGAAAAACTTGGAGATATTTTTTTGAGAACGCGAAAAATTTAACCCTTGTGGGTGAAATGTAACTATTAAGATGACGTTCTCGTAGTAAATATGACTAATATTACGGATTTTATCGCGCTTAATAAATTTATAAGGAATCATCATAGAAATCGTTTCTACCTGTTTTTAACCCATAACACATTATGGTACTTTAAATCTCAAACTGGAAACGCGGGAGACCAAGAGGGTGGGCGCGAGGAACGAAGTTAGTCTGTTTAAGCAGAGTCGAATAAAAACATGTTCAAGTTAAAAAAAGTTAAGCTTACAGCCTTATATACATCCCACAGCTGAGCATATGCCTCTTAACAATATAATTCTTTCGATACAAGAAATAATCTAATATAAGTCAAGTTGGTGTTATTAAAGATAATTGATATATCGTAAGATTCGGGTTTTTTTTTATAGCATTGGGTGACAAAGAAGCACACAGTCCACCTGATGGTAAGTGGATGCTGTGGCCCATAGATATCCACATTTATCCTCAATTAAAAACCAAAATGAAAATGCTTTGTCACCCCTGAGGACTAAGATAGAATGCCTCGATTCCAGTGAAAGGGGTCTCCATTTCTCTATGCTCACCATACGAAACACAGGAGCATTACGCTGGTATTCTGTGAGAGCGTAGTCCTGCCCCGGTTGAACCAACCCATTCGTGCTATAACTATAATATAGATGAGCGCGGCATTACCACTTACGACTTGTTATATTTTGGTGTAAGTGCTGATTCGATTACTAGCTCAGTATCTTCAAAGTCCTAATAATGAAGTTTTTTTACCTTTCAAAATAAATATAATTCATACATATAACAAACACACACCTGTCACCCAGAGCGGTAGGCACAGACTATGGACTTCCATTTGGCACAATCCTGACACCTCACTCGCCTCCTTTATATCCATATATCTACGCATACACGCTCGTCGGTTAACCGTGAGTTTGCACTGACGTGATTTTTACAAAAAAAAAAACATGTTTTAAACACTGTTTCTGTCAATGTATCAAAAAGCTTTTGCATAGTCAAAGAACATGTTGTAGTGTAATATGCGACTATTTATTGTACACTACGTATTTTAACTATATTATATCTTTATAACTACAGAAACAAAATGTTTGAAAACAAATTTGTAGAAATATTGTCATGTTGAAAGATAAGTTTGAATATCTGTTGAAAATTTTACAAAGTTTTTGTGATTGCGATCGCCACCATCAACAAAACATGTTGTTTGATTTATTTTATACGATTTGTTTCAAAACATTACGTGTTGGATGTTTCTCAGTGCAAACGTACTGTAAGGTTACTCTCAATCTGGTCCATCTTCAATATATCGCCAATTTGGTAGATAAACTTTTGTCTAGGGCGTTCCTTCCCGACTCTGCCGTTCACTTCTGCAAAATAGATTTGCTTTGTCACTTTCCTCGTTCATTCTTTCTACATGACCAAACCACCGAAGCATTCCTTTCTCAATCCCGGTCACATCATCTTGCAAACCACACGTTTCTCTTATAGCAAAATTTCTCACCCTGTCATTCAGATTCATGCCTAAGATACTCCTTAATGACCGCATTTCTACAGCATTAATTCTACGATGTTTTTTTGCCACACCCAACTTTCACTTCCATACATAAAATAATTAAACGTTTAAAGTAATCTTTACTATTGAAAGGTACAAGTCTCGGCCTGAACCAATATTTGTACAATACCATAGACGCATGTTGGTCTTGACATTAACGGCTGGTGTAAACGAAATTATTATGTATCCATCTTTTGGATGCCGATACAACGGAACGTAATGATGAAAAAAAAACAAATGCTTCAAAATGAAATGCAAAAGGAATCCACAGTACTTACTCTACGTTGATTATTTTAATACTTGTTTTTTTTTTTAGCGAATATACTGATCGCTGTTCCAGTGCTAACGCCGAATAATAAATACCTAGTTCGAAAGATTAATAGTTGTAAGGAAAAGTAGATGGAATAATAGTAGAAGGACTAATAATTGGATTTTCGTACGTAACAATGTTAATTTGTGTATTAGAAAATGTCTGCTTATAACAAATAATTAAAACGTTAAAACAATTGTGATTGCTGTAAAGTAGGGTCGTTGCGCTGGTTTTCGGGCTTTTAGTGGAGTTGTCAATTTTAAGGTACTATAAAAAATAATAGCGATTATGTTGACCTAGTGTTGTTAATGTTAATTTATAGCTTATATAATGTAGTTTTCATTTTGATAACTCATTAATGCTACAAAAAGAAATCTATTTTTTATAATAAATTTTGATGTGAAAAATATGCAAAACGCTAGTTTTCGGCCCCAAATTTTAGATTTCGGCCTACAAGAATTTTAGTTTTCGGCCACTGTATTAGAAGAGGTACTATAAACTTAAAAGTGTTTTTGTAAAATCAGAAAATGGCAAAACGGTTTGGGAAATCGGTGTATTTAGTTTTCTCAATCGGTGATTGCGATTTTTTAACCGTGACGTTATTTTTTTCTTTTTGGGTGTGTTTTTGATATAAAATAATAACCATGATTAATTATTTCTCTTTGAATCATAATCTAATAATAAAATCTTTTAAATATAGCAATCAAATATTCTCATTTACGAGTATTTTGTACTTCTTCATAAGTATTTTAGTTTAACAAAATCTGTTACCATATCTAACCACTCTCATCTCTAACCAAGAGGAGCCATCTGAAGAAAAAAAAATTCTTTTTGAATCTTCTTCCTAAAACGCAATGTGAATAAAATATTTGATATGATAAGATGAAATGGCCATAAACGTAAACTAAGATAGTATTCCATTTTCTGCCGCCGTATTCTTTCATACAATTTTAAGTTGGCCGAAAACTAAATTGTATATATTTTAGAGTCAATCCAGTTTTCGGCCACGACTGAAATGGGTATTTTGTTTCATCACTAACTGTTCAAATTGCAGTACTTGGTGGCCGAAAACTGAAAGTTAGTGTCTACGCACGCTACGATTCAATATAAGTAAGAAAGATGAGTTATAGTACGTAACCAAATAAACGAAAGAGACAAAGTATTTAGGGTAAACTCAGGCTACTTTTCGGGGCCCCGGGCGTCGGGGGCTACGTCGTGGCCCCCGGCCACCGTAGGCGCGGGCCTGTGGACGGCGAGCAATGGGTAGCTCGCCGTCCGTCCGTCTAACGACGACAGGCCGTGTCGACGGCGCGTTTTGTTCCACGCGCGCCTCAAAGAGCTGTCAGCAGCGTGAAGGGGCCCGCAAGGGCCGACGCCTGCCGGGGCTGCGGGCTGTTCGAAAGAGATCCGCGGCTCCGGAACGTAAGGGCACTGATGGTTTTTAGTCAGTAAAAGTCTGACACTCCCTTAAGCTCCACCCAGAGCGAAAGGCGTCATTAGATGATTTTCCATCCGCAAAAAAAAAGGCTACTTTTCGTCCGCATGGCCGACAACCAAATAATGGGACAATTTTATGTGTCACTTTTCGGCCACTTAATTTATTAACTTTATCAATAAATTATTATAATAATCAGTGTCAAATAACTATATTAGGTTATTTATACAGTGAAATATAAGCACAATATTAAGTAATTATATTAAATACAGCACGAAACTTACTTTTGAATGGAACGCTCGCCACTATTTTTTTTGCTCGATCTTACCCGTTTTGATAGCTTCAGTGTCGGCGTCAAACTAAACTATTTATTATAAATCGCGTGTTGTGTTTACCTGATTAATTAATGCTACCAGATATAGTGAAACTATTTACAAATGCATTAAACTGTATTACTTACGATAATATTTATTAAAATTGTTATTAAATCAAATTTACTGCTTCAGCTCGTGCCAAAGGCCGAAATCTAGACCCGGCCGGCTTACCGGCGCATCGACCCTATCCAAACGCCTGAGATTGCACTGTTATAAACTTACCTATAGTGTGTTTAGCTGACGTGACGCCATCATCGAATCCAAATATTCTGCAAACTATGCAATGTAACGTAGCAACATAATATTGTGAACAATTATGATGATATTTATCGTACACGTTAAAAGTGTTCTTTTCAGCCGAATGTATTGTAGCTTAAACAATTTAAAAAAAAAGGAAACTAATGGAGTTTTGGCGGGAACTAAACCTTTAGCGAATCGGCGATCCTGTATTATTGTTTAAATTATGTTTTAAGTATATTTTTATACGTAAAAGTGGTGAGTACTTGTGTATTAAATGTTACGCATATAAACTATTAGGTAATAGAACCTATGAAACTGATGCTCCGATAGTCATGCGAACCTCAAGTTGTATCTTATTTGCCATCGACTGTCTGTTGGATCAAGCTGACGTCAGAATCTCACAAAAAATTTGAAACATGACGCATCAACTAAATATGAAGAAGTTTTAAACAAATAAGGTATTATAAAAAATAATTTCATGGCACATGGCACCGGCAAAACTACAACCATAGGAGCCCGTCGCCGAAGAAAGAAAGAAATTTTAACATTTAACACAAAATTTTAACATTGAAACTTATTACTCTAATGGTGTAATAACAAATTACGAAACGTGTGACATCTTTTATTTGTTCAATCTTTGCTCACCTACGACACAACTTTAATTTATATCATATAATAACAATGTAGCATTTCAAATACATGTAAGAGATAATAGAAGATTTCTCGTAATAATTTACTTTATTCATATTAAACAACTTTAATACAATATTTCTTGACAAAATTTGTCCACAACGAATCCAGCCTCTTCTTTGGGGAGAATTTACTTTTTTTTCTTATTTTCGACCAGTATTTTTAATATGGCACTTAATTTAAATTACGCCTAAACAATGATTACGTCATAGTATGTCACATTAACCTTTGCCTATAAGGCTTAAAAAGATTAGAATTTTGTCAGTAGTTTCCGCAATTTATAGTTGTTTAGTTATCAAATGTTCTGCATCTGGATTGTTTCGAATTAAGAGAATAGCATTTAATGTCGATTCTTTAAGATTCTGTGGTGCCGGGGTCCAAATTGGCCCAATGATTGGTGGTGACCGCTTGCCTCCCCATGCGCTAAACTTCACTTTTCTCTTACCGTCAGTTTTTAAAGCTACATCAGAATACGTGTGTCCAGGCTTGAAGAGCTTTGGAATATTTTCCATAAAGGTTTTATACGGTAAAGCTTCTCGGAGCGTACGTTCATCGACTTTAGTACTGAGGGCTAAGATCTTGATTGGATGACGTTTGTCTAATGTTGGTACGAATTGGAACCCTCTAAAGTCAAATCTTTCACTGGTAGGGGAATAGTTAGTTACTATACGTGTCAGTTCAGGTACTGAAGTTGAGAAAATTAGTTTGGATCCTTTAGAACCTGGCTTGTAGATCATTTGTCCACCTCGCTTGCCACCCCAGGGGCTGAAACGAACACGTTTAGGCATGCTAGGTTCTCGAATGTTCAACGCACGTTTCCAAGTCCACATATTCTCAATATTCCCCTTGTCTCTCTTCCCACCCCAAGGGCTAAAGTTTCTTTTCTCCAACTCGTTCACTAAATTAAAATCTGTTCCATTTTCTTCCATATTATTTGAAAAATTTTGGATAACGAACGGATTTTCATATTTTTCATCGTTACCTAAGTATGTCGTTTTGTCTAAATCGATTAGATTCGGTTGCCAGCGTCTCTCGCGTGTTTCATCATTTTGACCATCATTAACTGTCCGCCGATTTCTTTTCAAATCGACCAATTGATTATCATTACTTTGATAAAATTGATTATTCAAATCTATGTTAGGCGTTTCGTTTGGATAATCGAATTCATTTTGTAAAGGTAGGTTTAAATAATTGACATACGGGATAGGTGCATAATGAATTGTAGAGTCCAAAGGGTCTAGAAGACCCTCAGCTGCTGGACCACCGGTGTTTATGTATTGTAGACTAACACTGCCGAACCAAGAGCAGGCTATGACAAGCCAGTAGTACGCCATATTTCTGTAACCAAACATTAATTATTTGATTAATAATTATAACAAAAACTGATGACGTACTTAATATAAGAGTTGCAGTGCTAAGAGTATGCCGTACCAGACGTGTGGATATTTCATAAATGACGACCTTTTTTTTAAAACTCAAGTGATAAAAGAAGTGGCAATCTACTTTTTTGTATAGAAGAGGGGTCAAACGAGCATGCGGCTTGACGGATGGTAAGTGATTACCGCCGCTCATGAACATCTCAAACCAAATTCAAACGAAGGCTACGTTGTCACCCCTGAGGACTAAGATGGAATGTCTCATAGACTAATTATACTGGCCCACAGTATAATTATGCGGGGAGCGGCACTTCCGTAATCTAGATAGGTAGGTGGTATAGATGTCTTTTCTATATTATATATTAGTCTGACATTAATATGTCACGCTTGGTAGGTCGATTTACGACACACAGACTGTAATTACTGGTTCTCTATGTTTTTTTTTTAAATAATTTGATGTGACAAAAGAACTTACAGCCAATGTTAAGTAGTTTTTAAAACGTGGTAGAGCCACGCTGCAGCTATATTATGGTTGTAGCGCGAATGGGTCGGCTCGACCAGGGAAAGACCGCGCTCTCACCGAATATCAGCGTAAAATAGCAGCCTAATACTGCTGTGTTTCGTATAGTGAGTGTAGAGATCGGGAGAACCTTTTTACTGGAAAAGAGGCATTCCATATTAGTCCTCAAGCATCTGCATTTTGATTCATAATCGAGGATACATGTAGGTGTCTATGCGCCACAGCAACCACTTACCACCAGGTGGACTGTGTGCTCGTTTATCACACTATCCTATATTTTTTTATGAAACACCTGGGACTATATTCGAACAAGTAAAGCTTCAATTGCGTTGTCACCTGTGTGGGCTAAGATGGAATGCCTCACATAATGTAATTACAGTATAATTACAATTCCTCTATGTTTTTTTTTTAAATTAAAACGAAATTACAGTTCACCTGATGGTAAGTGGCTGCTGCTTTCCACAGACACCTGGAATCAATTTCAAACAAAGAACGTTACAATACGTTACGTTGCCAGTTGTCACCTCTGAGCTCTGACGATTAAAGTTATAATTCCGTAGCCGACTGCAGACAGCCGCAGCAAGTGACGTGTCGTGGCGACACAACTGGTTTCTATGTAAAGTTCCGTAGCTAGCGACACGTCGTTTGCCTAGCGGCGGACGACACTGTAGCCCGACCGCAGATCAGTAGTGCCGCCAACGCCCAAGCGACAAAACGTTAAATTTAAAATAAAATGAATTTCACCGATTCCCAGGAAGATTCACTCACTTCCTCTGCATTTCAACATAGGATGTGTGTCTTTTCATCTTTTCTCTTTATACTTGTATAATAAAAACAAGTCATCATCATCTTCTTCCTCTTCTAACAAAAGATACAAAATAAATCGCGATCAGACATCATGTCCCACGGAACACTCGGAACAGACTGGACAAGGGCTGCTCCCGTCTGCAGTCTGGTTCGGAATCATGATTGCAGTGACATGACCCCGCGACATGGTCGCAGCGACATGTCGCGGCGACATCGCCTGTTGCTGCTGCCTGAAGTTGGTTATGGAATTGCACCTTAAGAAGAAATGCCACGCAGACTGTAATTATACTAAGTAACCATTTTAGTTTTCAGGCAAATCTTAGCTTTTTTCTTTCTTTTTTGAGCTATTAAAATTTTTCATCTTTACTATAATGTATTTTCGCAATTTTTATAGGGGTATTTTATAGGGGTGAAAACCGAGCGCACAATCCACCTGATGTTAAGTGGTTGCTGTGGCCCATAGACATCTACATCTATCCTCGATTACGAATCAAAATGCAGATGCGTTGTCACCCGTGAGACAACTCACAATACTAAAAAGACCAACCCATTCGTGTTACAATCATAATATAGCTACAGCGTAGATCTACTACGAACAAATCCCCCATAGGAGGCATGGGAGATGGGCTGGATGAGGGAGGCTTAAGTTTAGAAGTTCACTTTTGATAGACTGTAGTGAATAAATGAACATTTAAGAATTGTTTTTTCTAACTTTCTTAACCAGTGGGAACGTTTTCTAAAACAATAAAAGTAAAAGATAATATCAAGGAGGTTTTGACTTAGTCCGCTCGTTGCGAGTTATTATAACGAATGTTAGCGTTTACTTTTCGTTACGAAAACATTTCTCCTTCAGTGTAACGACGTTTAAGCCGACTTCAAAAAATGAGAAGGTTCCTGTTACAAGTTTATGTTTTTTTTTGTATCTTTGTCACGCGATATCTTCCTCAATTGTAGGCTAATTCTGATGATTCCCATTAATTTGAAGAAAACATTCCTCTACTAAACAGGGGATGTATTTAATATAAATATTTAGACTACATTCTTGTTGTAATCTTGAGCTTGTGATATTCTTTAGTCAGCCCATCAGAAGTCTACAGCTGAATCCTGTCCCCAGAGATCGCTTCACAGGGGGCATATTTGCCGTAGTTGCCTCGCTTGAAAACGGATTGGATACCGCAGTTTTTTTTTAAATATTGTGAGTTGTTATTAGCAGATGCCCCATCTTCTGTTTCATTTGTCATTATCGCATTTTAAGTACTCTTACTTGCACCCACGGGACTACACTGTCAAAAAGTCCACTTAAAAGGATCAAAAATTGTAGTCGGTGCTTTAATTATTTTATAAGCACGTAGTAAGAAATTCTCAGTAGCTGCCTGGAGTCAGGAAGTTCACGGTGTCTCACCCCCGTGCCTCGGAAAGCACGTAAAGTCGTTGGCCCTGCGTCTGATCTCTCTCCGGTCGTGTCGGTTTACCGTCCCATCGGATTATGAGAGTGAGGGAATAGAGAGTGAACCTGTGCTTGCGCATACACTTGGGCACTATAATCCTGTCCTGCACCGATGGCTAGTCTCCGTTGAGGCTGGCCGCCGTGACCGAAATTCGGTCTGGAGGACATTATTATTATATTATTATAAGTACGTATCTTCTGCACTTTAATTCTTTGTATGAACGTCTTATCATCGTCTTCAGAATGTGCAATTATTTAATTCTTCAGTTTTTTTTTAAATCTTTTAAAAGTTTATGGTTAAGGATATTATTAGGACAAATCTTCCCTGTTTCAAAACAAATCGAAGGTCTCAAAGAAAAGCATTTGGCGGTGCGGTAGAAGACTAATGCAGTGTGGTTAGACTGCGTTCAATTAAACTCGATCTTTAAACTCGATCGGCTGGCACTCAGTACACATACAATATGATATTTGTAAGTAAGCGATAGAACCTTGATGCAGTTATATTGTCAGTGTGGCACGAATAGGTTGGTTCGACCAGGGAAGGACTACGCTCGCACAGAATACTCCCGTAAAATGGCAGGTGAATGCTGCTGTGTTTCGAATGGTGAGTGTAGAGAACCGGAGAACCTTTAAACTGGATATTCCATATCTACGCTCGTTTATGAATCAAAATTCGGATGCGTTGTCTAAGACGTAATGATGAGGACTAAGATGGAATGCCTCTTATCCAGTAAATAGGGTCCCCGGTTCTCTGTATTCACCGTACGAAAAACAGCAGCAAGTAGCTGCTATTTTACGCTGGCATTTTGTGAGAGCGTAATCCTTCCCCGGTCGAGCCGACCCATTCGTGCTACAACTATACTACTAATATAGCTGCAGCATGGCTCTACGACGTAAAAAAATCATCGTTTCTCACCCTTATTCTATAAAAAAAAATGTGTGTGTCATGACACCTCGCCACACGCCCTGCAAAACGTTCACGAAGAACATTTACGAACATTTTTCCAAACACTTTTATGTTTTAAACAATATCCTATTAAAGTTATCTCTCCTACGAGTAACGAAAATTGGATGTTGTGTCAAACACTAAGCGTAATATGTGCAAGTATGAAGCAAGTAATAATTACATATTTTAAAAATTTATTACCTGGGCAGTGGAAAATACCTGAACCGAAGCAATTGTTCTGAGATGTACAGATTAATAATAAATATGTAGGTTTTAAGTTAGTTATAATGGGATTAACATGTTCACAAATAAAAATCCCTAAATAAATAAAGAAAAAGAAATTGTTCTGGGATTCGAATGCAACGTTGTGTCAAAACTTCAAATTAATCGGTGAAGAACTTATCGGATTTAGATTTTGAACAAAGGAAAATTTACATTTTTATTTGCTTTTATACTCGTATTTGTCTGTAAGCTTTCTTAGAATAAATAAATTCATATTTGGTTTTATATTTTGGTTGATGCACGAATGGGTCGACTCGGCCAGGGAAGGAACACGCTCTCACACAATACATAGTCTTACAGTGGCCCATAGACATCTATAACAATCTTCAATTAAAAATTCAGATGCGTTGTCACTTGTTTACACAATATCTCGTTTCCAGTGAAATGGGTGCTCGTTCTCTACAATCACCATACGAAACAAAGCAGTTTGAAACTACTTTTTACGTTGGTATTCCGTGAGAGCGTAGTCCCTCACGGTCGAGCCGACCCATTCGTGCTACAACTATGATATACCTGCAGCGTGGCTCTACCACGGATAACCGTAATATGTCGTGCCTTAGTTAGACGTATCCTCATGGGTCCTATCTTCAGATCTTAACCAAATTTATATGCCCACACTCCTGATGTAGGTACCTTTTTTCTATTAAAAAATAATTATTAAAATCGGACAACATGGTGACGAATTATCGCTGAACATAAATATGCTGACGAATTGAGAACCTTTTCTTTTTTTTGAAGTCGGTTGAAAAGCCTATTAATTATATAATAATTTACTCTTGTTTTCTAGACACCTATATAGTAAAGTAAAGTTACAGCCTATATACGTCCCACAGCTAGGCACAGGCCTACCCTCATTTCTGAGAGGGTTTTTATTATTATATAACAGAACGCGAGTAACCCGGGTTCGATCCCCGCAGGCATCAATGAAATTGTTAATTACAATTTTAAGTGCTGAT